CTTTTAACACAGCTTGCTGGCAAAAATTACGAACTATGGTTATATAAAAATATGCATATCCAGTTTTTACATATATTTATTCTTCCAGATAGACATATTTACTCTAAACAGCAGGGAAAAAAAAGCAAGCAGAACACTCATTTAAATGGCAGAAAACCAGAAGAAGATGCTAATATGACCTTAGTGTAGCATGTCAAGTGTCACTGCCACCAGCTTCCTAGTCATTTTAAGAACAATCTGCTAAGACAATTAATTACACAGCTTAAAAGATTAGGTCAACAGTGTCAAATCCAAGAATATGAACTTGAAATTTAGCCTTTTAAAAGTGTGTGCTGTCTATTTAAATGTCTACATCAGTTTGTGAAAGAATAGTAAGTTTCAGAATTGATGAGTTACTTATCAGGAGCAGCAGTGGTTTCACCTTCCCATAAAAGAAACCCAAACATTGCAATTAGAAAACCTGACAGAAGCCCTTGGCTGAGAGAACAGAGATCACCAGGCTGCAAACATATAAGGGCTACTTTAGAAGAAAACAGTAATTAAAAATTGACATTTAACATAACAGAATTTTAGAACAGCAGCAATCCTTAATCTGGTATTTTGAAAACTCAAACTGTTTCAAACAGAGGGTGTACTCTGGGTTTTTCTTGAATAGGTAAAGTCAACCTGAACACATCCTTCTTGGACACCTTTTGTTACCACTGCTTTTACCTGTAGACCTGACTGGAGGGGGAAAGATTCATAGCTAGGATACTAGTTAGTTACCTAGCTTTTAATTCTGGTGCTTATGCTGAAGCATGTCACCCTGCCCGGGCTCAGTTTTCAGGCAGCCAAGTTACTGCGACTCAAGTCTCCTTGCAGGAGTTCCAGCCTGTCTTCTCCTCCTCAGAACACGGTAGATATCTGCTACCTGCCCAGCCAGTTGTATGTTCAGCTGAACTTGCCCTTTAGCCTTCACAGAGAAAGGATGATTAAGTCCTTGAAAATGTGTTAGCTTTCAAAAGTTGTAAGATTTTTACAAATCCCAAAGAAAGAATTGTCAAGGTTAGGGCTTTGAGCAACCTGCTCCGGTGGGAGGTGTCCCTGCCCACAGCCAGGGGGGTTGGAACTAGATGATCTTTAGGGTCCCTTCCAACTCTAACCATTCTATGATTCTATGATTCAAGTTTACCAAGAGTAATGCTTACAACTTGTTTCATCCTTGTGCCAGGTAAGCAGCCCTTCAGACAGATGATACCTGAGGAAAGAACTGGCACTTTAGGGTCCCTTCCAACTCTAACCATTCTATGATTCTATGATTCAAGTTTACCAAGAGTAATGCTTACAACTTGTTTCATCCTTGTGCCAGGTAAGCAGCCCTTCAGACAGATGATACCTGAGGAAAGAACTGGCACTAGAGAGAAGTTCTGCCTGACAGCACTAGGTACCCAACTTTGGATGAGTTGTCTGACCACAAGCATTGGGTGGCAGTTCACTCTTCACACCTCTATCTCAAGGTTCCTGCAACCCTCCAAAAGCTGCAGGGAAAGCTGGAGTGGCTGGATACAATTAACTGCTCAGCTGAAGTTCAGAGACAGGCATCTCCTCGCAGTGACCTGAAAGAATGCAAAAGCCACCAGTGGCCCCACAGCCCAGCTCCATCAGTGGCTGATGACAGGTGCCAGAAGGCAATATGCTCAAAGTGAGCTTACCATAATGCTTACCTAAATCATTCTCTCAGCTTCCAGCTATTCATAACTCCATGACCTTCTAAACCAGGTCAGGGTAGAGCTGTGTGTTTAATAGCGATGCCTACAATGTTCCCTGTCTGAATTTGCCCCTGGATTTACTCATTCATCATCACTTACATGTTAGATGACTGGACATTGCTGGTCACATTTATAAATAAATTGAGATTTCTTCGAAAACTACAATAGGGACAAAAACAAATAGCAAGATGCCAGTCTGGAGGACACTATACAACCAGAGGTAGGGCCTAGAATAACTAATTTATACTTCTTACAGCCACTCACATAGTGTCCATAATTTTATCTATTTACTACTACAAATCTACTTACTACTAAAACAAATCCTTTAAATTATGCATTAGTACCCAATAAACTGCATCCAGAGTAGAAGTGTTTAAGTACTAAAATCTAAGAATACTTTCATTTTTTCCTTGTGCTTAATCCTCTGCAAATGCTCATAGCCCTAAATGAGATTTTCGTATCAATACATATGGTTTAAATAACACATACTCTCTTACAGTTTGTGCAGCAAGTAGTTTAGAGTTCGATAGGTTGGGTTTTATTGGTTGGTTTGTTGAGGTTTTTCTTCCATTTGTATTTGTTTGGGGTTTTTTTAAACCCATCTCAGTTTGCAAAGCTTTTCTTGGGCACAGCCTGGCACATGCCAAAGCACCTACCCAGCTATCTCCTCAACGCTCACCCCCTTTGGTGGTTCCATTCTCATCCCCATTTCACGCACTCTTAAAAAATTCAGTTTCAAAAAGGGAAGGGCTGGCTGAGACAGAAGCCCACTGGCACATCCAGAGAGCAGACAAGGACAAGCACAACATCAACAGAAACGTTTCCTTCTCTTTGGAAGATGCACAGTAACAGGGTTCAGATGAAACCCACTGCTCGTATTTCAAGAACCAAGAAGCAGGAACATTTCCACAAGAGACTGACAGGTAAGCCCAAAGCAAAGTCAGTCCGATATCTGCTTCCACTAAGGTAAGTCTCACATTTATGGTGCTTTCATAAACTATTCACCAACACCTCACTTAAGGGCTGCTTCCCTTTGGGAAATACGATCCGCAAGGTAGTAACTTATGGTGGTGTGTGCAGTACAAGCAAGAGACCAATTACATGCAAAAGATTATTTTGACAGAAGTAGACTGCTTGACTTTCAGGCCTGAAGCTCACATTCAGTTGGCCTTGCTCACATATATTTGGTTACAGGTAACCAGTGCTGTTTAACATCTTTATTGGCAACAGGGACAGTGGGATAGAGTGTACCCTCAGCAGGTTTGCCAATGACACCAAGCTGTGTGGCGCAGTCAACGTTTCAGAGGGAAGGGATGCCATCCAGAGGAACCTGGACATGCTTGAGAGGTGGGCCCATGCAAACCTCATGAAGCTCAACCAGGTGAAGTGCAGGGTCCTGCGCCTGGGTCATGACAATCCCAAGCACAAAAGAGCAGCCCTGAAGAGAAGGATTTGGGGGTGTTGGTTGATGAGAAGCTTGACGTGAGTCAGCAATGGGTGGCACTGGCAGCCCAGACAGCCAACCACATCCCAGTCTGCATCAAGAGAATTGTGGCCAGCAGGTCGCGGGAGGTGATTCTGCCCCTCTGCTCTGCTCTCATAAGGCCCCACTAGGAGTACTGCGTCCAGCGCAAGAAGGACATGGACCTGTTGGTCCAGAGGGAGGCCATGAACATCATAGGAGAGATGCTCCAGCCCCCTGATGAAGAGACAGGCTGAGAGAGCTGGGCTTGTTCAGTCTGGAAAAGAGAAGACTCTGGGGAGACTTTATAGCAGCCTTCCAGTCCCTAAAGGGGGCCTACAGGAGAGATGGGGAAGGACTTCTTTATCAGGGAGTGCAGTGATAAAACAAGGGTTAATGGTTCTAAACTGAAAGAGAGGAGATTCAGACTAGATTTTAGGAAGAAATTCTTTGCTGTGAGGGTGGTGAGGCACTGGAACAGGTTGCCCAGAGAAGCTGTGGCTGCCCCATCCCCGAGGGGTTCAAGGCCAGGCTGGATGGGGGTTTAGCAGCCTGGTCTGGTGGGAGGTGTCCCTGCCCAGGGCAGGGGGGGTGGAACAAGATGATGTTTAATGTTCTTTCTAACCCAAATCATTCTATGATTATGCAGTTGAGTTTAATTTATTTTCAGTCAAATCAATTATCCATCTCCTAAAATGCAAACTGTATCATTTCTGATACAGTTAAAAATGTTCAGAAGAAGGATTTGGGGGTGTTGGTTGATGAGAAGCTTGACGTGAGTCAGCAATGGGTGCTGGCAGCCCAGAAGGCCAACCCCATCCTGGGCTGCATCAGGAGAAGTGTGGCCAGCAGGTCAAGGGAGGTGATTGTGCCCCTCTGCTCCACTCTCATAAGGCCCCACTAGGAGTACTGCGTCCAGCGCAAGAAGGACATGGACCTGTTGGTCCAGAGGGAGGCCATGAACATCATAGGAGAGATGCTCCAGCCCCCTGATGAAGACAGGCTGAGAGAGCTGGGCTTGTTCAGTCTGGAAAAGAGAAGACTCTGGGGAGACTTTATAGCAGCCTTCCAGTCCCTAAAGGGGGCCTACAGGAGAGATGGGGAAGGACTTCTTTATCAGGGAGTGCAGTGATAAAACAAGGGTTAATGGTTCTAAACTGAAAGAGAGGAGATTCAGACTAGATTTTAGGAAGAAATTCTTTGCTGTGAGGGTGGTGAGGCACTGGAACAGGTTGCCCAGAGAAGCTGTGGCTGCCCCATCCCCGAGGGGTTCAAGGCCAGGCTGGATGGGGGTTTAGCAGCCTGGTCTGGTGGGAGGTGTCCCTGCCCAGGGCAGGGGGGGTGGAACAAGATGATGTTTAATGTTCTTTCTAACCCAAATCATTCTATGATTATGCAGTTGAGTTTAATTTATTTTCAGTCAAATCAATTATCCATCTCCTAAAATGCAAACTGTATCATTTCTGATACAGTTAAAAATGTTCAGAAGTCTTCACCTAAATATAAGTACTTCACAGCCATGGCAAGGAATGGATTTTTCACTGAACTGATAACAAGACTGAGAATTACAGATGTTCCAGCATCTGTAATTGTGTGAAGTTGATCTGTGTGAAGTTGGAAAGGCATGTTGAACATGGCTGCTAAGTCACATCCTCAACCTCTATTTTTAATAAAGTGGTTCACCAAGAAACACTCTTAACAGTGACATTGCACTCTATAAGAAGAAAAAAAAAAGCAGTGTCAGCTTTCCAACTGCCTGTAATGAAGTCAGTAAATAGGAGTATACTTACTTGTAAGCTTGTTGTGACTCAGGACCAGCTGTGTGATATGAGACAGTGTAACTGCAAATGAAGAGAGAAAGAAGTTAGTTTATGGGCAACTGAGAGCTTGTAGCTATTTTAGCTAAAAAAAAAAAAAAGAAAAAAAGAAAAAGAGGCAAGCTATTCTCTCCACTCCAGTAACTCCAGATTCATGTGCATTGTCACAATGAACAAGACAATATAAGACTTAAGGACGTACCCAACCACTCCTCTGCCCCTTTACTTCTCATTTCTGTCACTGCATCAAACACAACTTGAGCAGCAAGTACCGCTGCCTCCCAGCACAGGTCTGGTTCTGGGCACACAAACACCTTTCTCCATCCTTTAAATCCTTCCCGAGGGAAAACTGATAGGTACTCCAGTATTTATCCCAACAGAACACATGCCATGCAAGCAACTACATTTCCACGTGTTCCCAACCCATTATTATGCCAGATTCAACTCCTAAGTACCCACAGCTGCATTTACAGCCTCGCATCCATGCAGCACAATACCAGACTAGCAGTGTTGTCGCATGTCAAATGGCCAGGTGACAACAGGCAATATTTACTCAAAGTAACTGAATGATCTGATTGATCGAAGCCCCTCAGATTCCATCTTATTGAACAAACAAGTGTGGGGCACAGGGCAGTTACAGAGACCAGCACTCCCCCTACACTTCTCCATCCTTTACATTTCTTGCCTACTTCCACCCTCCACATCACCATCACTTTCCCTAGAATCTCCATAGCCCACAACTGACAACAGCATCTGATCAAAAAAAGACGCTAAATATTCTCAGAGGAGAAACTCACACTTTGAAGGAATTCTTGAGCATCCTTCCCCTCCCTGTAAAAAGTTTGCTGTATTTTATTGGAACTAGAAAAATGGAGAGATTTTCCTCTCCCACATCTTTTCCTTACTTCCAGTGTAGCCTCTTTAAAACAGCTCTAGAAACTACCTGGCTGCCCCTCCTAAGCAGCTGGGAACTTTTCCTGCCTGAGTGACAATTGTAGAGCTACCTCTCTCATCCCTCAGGGCTTTCCTCACGCAACAAACATCACTAATTGTAGCCCAGATAGAGCCCAGAGGGGTCTTGCTGCCTTAGGGAACGAAGAGATCCTGGTGAGCATGTGTAAAAACTGGGCGTGCTAATTAATACTTACTAAATTGCAAGCTGGAGGAAACAGCTTGGAGAGCTTTTACTTACTAATGGATATAGCAACCAGCTTGAAAGCTGGTGTATTAACACAGGCACACATAACCTGTTTGCAGAATGAAAGCGGTCACCCAAAGGCAGAAACAAAAAGTCACAGTTCCCTGTGCAATTGCAGGTTGTGGAGGAAGGAAAGGCAGGGAGGAGAAAGGAAGAAACACTGCATCCACCCTAAATTTCTCCTAAAACGTGAGTGCTCTAAGTACTGACTGCACCACCTCACAAAGCAGAACGGGTGGGGAGATGCCCTGCAGTGCTGCCTCCAGCTCCAGAGCCTCAGCACAAGAGACACCTGGACCTGTTGGAGCGGGGCCAGAGGAGGCCACGGAGATGATACAAGGGCTGGAGCACCTCTACTGTGAGAGTTGGGGTTGTTCAGCCTGGAGAAGAAAAGGCTTCAGAGAGACCTTGTAGTCCCTTGCAGTACCCAAAGTGGGCCTACAAGAAAGCTAGAGTGGGACGTCTTACGAGGACACATAGTGACAGAATGAGGGGTAATGGCTTCAGTGGAAGATGGGTAGTCCCTTGCAGTACCCAAAGTGGGCCTACGAGAAAGCTAGAGTGGGACATACGAGGACACATAGTGACAGAACGAGGGGTAATGGCTTCAGTGGAAGAGGGGAGATTCAGATTAGCTGTCAGGAAGAAATTTTTCACTATGAGGGTGGTGATGCACTGGGCCCAGATTGCCCAAAGAAGCTGTGGCTGCCCCATCCCTGGAAGTGTTCAAGACCAGGTTGGATGGAGCTTTGAGCAACCTGGTGGGAGGTGTCCCTGCCCATGGCAGGGCAGTGGGACTAGATGATCTTTAAGGTCCCTTCCAACCTAAACCATTCTATGATTCTATGGCAGAGAAAGAAGCTGATAGAAAATCTGTAAGAGTATTACAGAAAAAACAGCACTAAAGGGCAGACAAGAGCAGCTGCCTCCACAAACAGCTCTAAGGTTTAAAACATAAAGCACACATCAGCACCTGAACCACAAGCAACCGCAAGTCTATACAACAGACACAGGTCTATTGGGCCAGATGGGACCCATCCAAGGGTACTAAGGGAGCAGGTGGAAGTGCTCACCGAGCCTCTTTCCATTATTTATCAGCAGCTCTGGCTAACCGGGGGGGTCCCAGTTGACTGGATGTTACCAAATGTGACACCCATCTGCAAGAACAGTCATAAGGAGGACTACAGGCCTGTCACCCTGACCTCAGGGCTGGGGAAGGTTATGGAGCAGATCACCGTGAGTGCCATCACACAGCACATACGGATCAGGCCCAGCCAGCACAGGTTCATAAAACGAAAGTCCTGCTTGACTAAACTGATCTCCTTCTATGATAAGATCACCTGCTTACTGGACAAGGAAAAGGCTGTGGATGTTGTCTACATAGACTTTAGTACAGTCTTTGACATGTTTCCTGCAGCATTCTCCTGGAGAAACTGGCTGCCCATGGCTTGGACAGGTGTACTCTTCGCTGGGTAAAAAAACTGGCTGGAGGCTGGGCCCAGAGAGTGGTGGGAATGGAGTTAAATCCAGTTGGTGGCCGGTCACGAGTGGTGTCCCCCAGGGCTCAGTACTGGAGCCAGTTCTCTTTAATATCTTCATCAATGATCTGGACAAGGGGATCAAGTGCACCCTCAGTAAGTTTGCAGGTGACACCAATTGGGCAGGAGCATTGATCTGTCTGAGGGTAGGAAGGGTTTGCAGAGGGATCTGGACAGGCTGGATCCATGGGATGAGGCCAATGGGATGAAGTTCAACAAGGCCAAGTGCCAAGGCCCAGTGCAAGGCACTTGGGTCACAATAATTTCATGCAGCTTGAGGAACAGACGCCAGAGAAGGTTTAAATTGGGCGTTAGGAAGAATTGCCTTACTGAAAGGGGTATCAATGTTGGAACAGGGTGGCCAAGTGGTTGAGACACCATCCCTAGAGGTATTTAAAAGACGTGTAGATGACGGGGCACACTTAGGTAGACACTCAGGGACATGGTTTAGCGGTGGACTTGGCAGTGTTAGGTTAAAAGTTGGACTCAACAATCTCAAATATCTTTTCCAACCTAGATTATTCTACAATTCAACACTATTGATTACTTGCACATATAGCTAAATACAGGAATGCAATTTACACAAAAGAATGAGAGAAGATGCTGGGGATAGTCACCCAGGATATGGAAAAGGTTGGCTACTGAACGACTTTCACCTCAGTCTTCACCAGCAAGAGCCCTAACCACACTGCCCAAGTCACAGAAGGTAAAAACAGGGTTTACGAGAATGAAGAACCGCCCACTGTAGGGAAGACCACGTTTGAGACCATCTAAGGAACCTGAAGGTGCATAAGTCCATGGGACCTGATGAAATCCATCTACAGGTCCTGTGGAAGCTGGCAGATGAAGTTAAGCTGCTTTCCATTATATGTAAGAAGTCGTGGCAGTCTGGTGAAGTTCCTGCTGACTGGAAAAGGGGAAATGTAAAATTCATCTTCAAAAAGGGAAAAAAAGAAGACCTGGGAAACTACAGGCCAGTCAGTCTCACCTCTGTGCCCGGCAAGATCATGGAGCAGATCCTCCTGGAATCTCTACTAAGCCACATGGAAAATAAGGAGGTGATTGGTGACAGCCAGCATGGCTTCACCAAGGCCAGGTCATGCCTGACAACTTTGATGGCCCTCTACGATGGCACTACAGCATTGGTAGACAAGGGGAGAGCAACAGGTGTCATCTACCTGGACTTATGCAAAGCATTTGACACTGTCCTACATGACATCCTGGTCTCAAAATCGGAAAGTCATGATGTGACGGATGGCCCACTCAGTGGATCAGGAACTGGCTGGATGGCCCCACTCAAAGGGTTGCAGCCAACAGCTCAGTGTCCAAGTGGAAGCCAGTGATAAGTGGTGTCCCTCGGGGGTTGGTACTGGGACCAGTGCTGTTCGACATCTCTGTCAGAGACATGGACAGTAGGATAGAGTGCACCCTCAGCAAGTTTGCTGATGACACCAAGCTGAATGGTGCAGCCAAGGCGCTGGAGGGAAGGGATGCCATCCAGAGGGATCTGGACATGCTTGAGAGGTGGGCCCATGCAAACCTCATGAGGTTCAACCAAGCCAAGTGCAGGGTCCTGTACCTGGGACATGGCAATCCCAGGCACAAATACAGGTTGGACAGAGAATGGATCGAGAGCAGCTCTGAGAAGGACCTGGGGGTGTTGGTGGACAAGAAGCTCAGCATGAGCCAGCAATGTGCACTGGCAGCCCAGAAAGCCAACCCCATCCTGGGCTGCATCAAGAGAAATGTGGCCAGCAGGTCGAGGGAGGTGATTCTGGCCCTTTACTCTGCTCTTGTGAGACCCCACCTGGAGCTCTGTGTCCAGCTCTGGAGTCCTCAGCACAGGAAGGACATGGACCTGTTAGAACAGGTCCAGAGGAGGGCCATGAACATCATAAGAGAGTTGCTCCAGCCCTCTGATGAAGACAGGCTGAAAGAGTTGGGGTTGTTCAGCCCGAAGAAGAGAAGGCTCCGGGGAGACCTTGTTGTGGCCTTCCAGTACCTGAAGGGAGCTACATGAGAGATGGGGAGGGAATCTTTATGAGGGAGTTGAGTGATAGGACATGGGATAATGGTTTTAAATTGAAAGAGGGGAGATTTAGATTAGATACTAGAAAGAGATGGTTTACTGTGAGGGTGGTGAGACACTGGAACAGATTGCCCAGAGAAGCTGTGGCTGCCCCATCCCTGGAGGGGTTCAAGGCCAGGCTGGATGGGGCTTGGAGCAACCTGGTCTGGTGGGAGGTGTCCCTGCCCAGGCTTCGAACTCGATGATCTTTAAGGTCCCTTCCAACTCTGACCATTCTGTGATTCTATCACCTGTGTGAAAAAACCACCCCTGGAAATACCAAGTTTTTCATTACGCTGCCACTTGCCTACTCCTGTGAAAAGAACTGTGCTGTGGGAACAGCTGACTCTGGTTTTCCTCATTCTATATATACAGTAAATTCTGCATGACAACTAAACTATCAGCTCTTCTGATATAAACATCTCCCTTAAGCAACTAATTAACATCCCCAAGTGACATCTAGACGGCAGAAGGGGGCCTGATAGTGCCTTTTTGCTTTGGATGCAGGCAGCCCAGGCAAGCATAATAGGCAGGACTCACTGAAGATCACTCAATGGGTCAGACAATTCACCCCGAGGTTCAAATTCACCTCCAAGGTTCAAATGGCACCGCAATTCCCACAGGGGAGTTACTAGAACCTCTCTCTGATGCCACCAGAGGAACTCATAGATACTAAGAGGCAGCTCCTTGAGGACTGCAGAGCCTGGGTGCCTTGCTAACACTCAGCAACTAGCATACAGGCAGTAAGTTACTTTGATTTCAAGACCTCACCAAATATCCACACAGAAGTTTGAGGGTCAGTATACTACCGTTTGCCAGAACAATTTACTTGTACATTAATTACAAATTCTCATTATGGTCCCAGTCTCACTATTGCTTCAAAATGGGGTGAATCAAGGGAAGAATATAGAAGCTCTTCCCTTTTGGCCCTAGTATCAAGCCTTTTCATATGCAGTACACGACAGCAGTAAGTTAGCTTTACATAAAATGTTTATATGACAACACTTGACTTAACTTTTTTAAAAGAAAAAAAAAACAAAAAACCCCCATAAAACAGGAAGACTACAGAGACCTTGCTGAACCAAGATAAAACATTGTCTGTCCCAGCGGAGGAAGTTAATGCAGGATCAGCATTACAGTATCATACAAAACAGCTTGCAAGTACAAGTGCCCCTTCATCTTCTGTGCTTTGGAGCTCACAATTATATTAACACTAACTTTCTGATAAAAAATTCTAGGCATGTTAATTCCTACCACACAAGCACATACTTTATGTAAAATGCGAATAGCTTACAGATGGAATGATACTGAGAACAAATTAACACTTACAAAGTAAATAGGACTTCATCCAATATTCTTTCCCTGACAACAAGACAACTTGAGACATCTGCTGCTCTGTAATTTGGGCAAAATAATTCCTTAATTCATAGCTTCCCCATATCGATCACTTAAAGAAAATAAATCAGAGATTAGAGACTGGTCCCTACTTCAAGAACAATTCCATAATTGTGGATGGTTGCTTGAAGTCCTACCAACAAATGCTCTAGCTATCAGACTACAGAAAAGCCACATCGTCTCCTACTTGCTGAACCCAGCTGTTCACCCTACAGGGTGCATGTTGATGCTCTCCACCACTACCTGTCCATATTGGGTGCTTTGTAAGCAAATATGATCTATTTGTGTCACAATACGGAATAAAAAAAAAAAAACCAAACAACACATTAGAACACTTCCACCGGGCAATGCATTTTTAAAAACTATTCATGTATTCATGGTGTAACATTTGTTTTATCCCATGCCAGAATAATAAGGAAGGCCTTTAAAACTGTTGCACATGGTCTTTGCATTAGCGTGATGAGCTACAGCACAGAATACCTAGACCAAGGAACATTTTCAGTCTCAATTTTTTTTTTTTTTTGCTGCAGATGAAAAGAGTTTTCTCATATTACATTTCTGAAAGTCTCAAAAATTCAGGTGCTCTGAAAGCCTGTAGCACAATTCTAGTTTGTATTTTAAGTCATTAGTAGAAAACATGGAAGTGCCTGGATTCGAAGAATACTCCTAAAATAGAACTCAGCTTCTAATGGTATTAATGAACTCCTGAGCAAGCAGCAGCTCGGGGACTACTGAACTTTTCTTTGTCAATCTGAACACCACATTATATACAAGCTGGTAACTCCACTCTCCCTTTACTAAACACAAAAGCGGGAAGAGATGCAGAGGTTGCCAAGCTCCTGGGTCTAAGCTAGTTTAAGACAGGGAGGCACCAGGTCAGACTCATTTAGCTTCCCTACTGGTCCTGAGCACTGGAAAAACCCAAAACACCCAATCTGTACTAGAAAAGATCACCATTTAGGAGTCAGATGACAGGGTGAGAAAATAAGCATGTTTAACATTTTCTCAAACCAAGGCCTACATTTCAGAGGTAATACCTATTCATTAGTTTTTTTAAAGGCACATTTGAATCAAGTCATTCATTCTCCTAATGGAAAGCGGCAAATAACTTGATGACAAAAAAAATCCCGAACCAATCCCAACTTACAATGCCTTCTCTGCCAGAGTACAGAGTAAGTGAAAAAACAAGGTGGTCTCAATTAACTGAACAGAAACCAGTCATTTCCCATTCATTTCCCCCTCCCCTAACTTCCTCCTCAAAAGGAGGAAGCCCCAAATCCCCATGCTAAATCCAGTCACACGACGTGCACCAAGAACATCTGCACCCAGACCTCTCTGATGCAGTGTAACCCGGGTACCACAAGTCTACACTTCACCTAGGGAGCTCCCTGCCAAACAAGCTTCAGATGCTTAATTAGTAACTTGATATCAGGGACCACCCATGGACTAGTGTCCCACAGTGTGGTCCCTGACCCTGCCTGCACAACCAACCCAAAACAGCGTTTGTACAAGAAAAGTTTTGTTTATTTGAGCATTACTAATATTCTTCAACATTACCTTTTTTCCCCTGCCTGAAAGATCAAAGCTGACTAATTAATTATGTGCCTTAGAGTTGTTAAGAGGCACCAAGTCCACTTGAAAAAATACTGCCCCAGACTCTTAATGTAGTGGTTTATCTGAAAGGGATAAGCATAATTCTGAAAATGGGTCTGTGTTAATGGGAGCTAAACACTACTTTGTCTCAAACAACTAGAAATACAGTGAAGCTTTCTCTTCAGTGTGAGTTGATATACACGGGCTCGACAATGTAATCTTCCTGAAATCACACACACAACTCAGAAGCAGGAAAAGAATCAGTAAAGGATGAAGACTTAAGTACAGAACCTAGTTCAGCAGAACACTGACGCGAGTGAAGATACTCTGGTCTGCTCCCAGCTCTGCAGACAATGGCAAGTTGGTAGTGAGCCATACATTTCCTTGAACTCATTTCCATCATGTAAAGAAGAGCTACGTACACTTGCTCCTGTCTGCTATCAAGTTTAACTAACATAGTAAAGAGCTAACCCAGGATACAATTAGAGTTTCAAGTACGGCGGTTGTTCTAGACTTTGCTTTTTTCTCATTACATCACATATTAAGGGAAGTTTCAGCCTGTGGCACACTACAACCAGCCAAAACTTCAACTTATTATGTATCAGCTGTGCCATAATAGAGAATCCCAGAATGGTATAGGCTAGAAGCGACCTTAAAGATCATCGAGTTCCAACCCCCCTGCCCTGGGCAGGGCCACCTCCCACCAGACCAGGTTGCTCCAAGCCCCATCCAGCCTGGCCTTGAACCCCTCAATGGATGGCGCAGCCACAGCTTCGTTGGGCAAGCTGTTCCAGTGTCTCACCACCCTCATAGTGAAAAATTTCTTCCTGATATCTAATTTGAATCTCCCCTCTTTCAGTTTAAAACCATTACCCCTTGTCCTATCACTACATGCCCTTATAAAAGTCCCTTTCCAACTTTCCTGTAGGCTCCCTTCAGGTACTGAAAGGCCACAACAAAGGTCATCCCGGAGCCTTCTCTTCTCCAGGCTGAACAACCCCAGCTCTCTCAGCCTGTGCTCATAGGAGAGATGCTCCATCCCTCTGACCATTTTTGTGGCCTTTCTCTGGAGGAGGTACATCACAGGCACTCCTAGCCAAAGCAAAAGCAAGCCAAAGCCACCTGCCTCGCTCTTCATTTATGAGTTCCCCAGAACTGACACTTTGTTGTTATGGGTATGGTGCATTTGCTGTAAATGCAATATACCAATAAGAAAACACAGTCACAATTCTGGAAGCACGTGCAACATGCAAAGCATGATCCTGCTGTATCTGTTGAACAGCATTATCTCACTCTCCTCCAGAGACCAGCTGTGCCCAGCTCCAGGCTTAATGCCACCCTACGCCTTTCAAAAACCAGCAGAGATGCTACTTGGCCAGTGGCTTTGCTTCAGTAGCACGGAGAGGACAGGATGGACGGACAGGAGAGGCCGGAACGGACAGACAGGAGGCAAAGCCTCCCCATCCCTCCAGCGCCAGAAGGGCCGCAGTCAGAGGCTGGGCGGGCTGAGAGCGGCAGCCGGCGCACAGGCAGAGGCGATGGGGGAGAGAGGGGCGGCAGCCTCAGCCCCCCCGCCGCTCTCCCCGGTGCAGCGGAGCCGGGGCTCTCCCGAACACACACACACACGCACACGGCCGTTCCGGTGCTGCCGGGCGCCGCGCTCTTCCCTCCTACCGACGGATCCCCCCCAAAGCCCCCAAGGCTTCAGGGCACCCCCGGCGCAGCGGGGGCCGGGGCAGCAGCCCGGGAGGGGCGGCGCGGCTCCCCCCGCGGCCAGGGCCGGCGGCGGCCCCGGGACAAATAAGGAAGTTTGGGCGCAGACCCCGCCCGCCGCCGGTACTCACAGAGGCCGGGCACGTCCAGCATGCTAGAGATGCCGCGGTCACACATGTCCACCTCGGGCTGGTTCTTGTCCCTGCTCTCCTCCACGATCTTCTTCAGAGACTAAGACATG